ACGACCTTGGTGTCATTATCAAGTGTTTTGATGTCATCATTATGTCTGTTATATCATATTTTGCAAAAGAAAACAACAACATATAAACAGGGCTTTTCAATAATGCTTGACATGACCCATTTTGCCGAGAACTAAAATACGCAGGCGAATTTGAACGTACCGTGACGACCTACAAAAACATACCCTTAGGTCATGATTCACCGAGCATTTTATGTACAGCAAATTCGAAAACCAATGTAACATATGGTGAAGCAGGCTTGAAAATCGATTTTTGATGAACCATGAGAGTAAACAGAGTGTGGTAACATGCTAATGTAATGGATTCTGAAGCAAGCAACCCTCACTAATTAATGAGAAAATGGAAACTTTGTCAGGTAAGCTTTTTTGCCGTCGCACGATTTACACAGTTTTACACAGTCGCTCCGCTCACTCGGTGGTTTATGAGGTGGTTATCGCACCCGTCGAGGGATTATCTCACTATATACACCTCAAGGCAAGGTATTAACCCTTTATTAAATCGACGTCAAAATCAAGAATTTTGACGTCGTTACGATATCAGTTATTACCTTCGCCAAGAAGGTTATGTTTTCAGTAGCGTTTGTCTGTGTGTGTGTGTGTGTGGGTGTGTGTGTGTTTGTGTGTGTGTGGTTTAGCAAGATAACTCGAGAAGCAGTGGATGGATTGGAATGAAACTTGGTAGGTGGGTAGGTCTTCATGAGACCTAGAAATGATTAGATTTTGGGCCCCCTTGCGGCTTTTCTAGGTACTGCAGCTGAACTTCCGGTTTTGATATCTCATGTTCTGGACATGCTAGGGTCATGAATTTTGGTTGGTAGATAGCTCTTGGGGTAGGAAAGAAGTGACATGAGTTTGGGTCCCCTAGCGCCTTCTTCTGGAACTGCAGGAGCATTTGTTGAAAAAAATTTGAAGGACGATAACTCAAGAACCGGTTGACGTATTGTCGTGATTTTTGGTATGTAGGTAGTTGAAGTGATGCTTGACATAATCAGATGGCAATTATGCAAATCAGGAGCTAATTTGCATAATTAATGAGGAAATTCTATAAATCTGCTTTGTTCGATAATAGAACTATGAAACACTTGTGACATCTACTTGAGAACGAGAAAAACATCTGAGGATATAGATTATGTAAATGAGGACCTAATTTGCATAATTAATGGCAAATTCTTATAATTCCATAGTTGTAACTGCTGCACCCCGAATTTCATACTTGCCACATTTGGAAGTTAAGTGAAGGTGAACATCAATAAATATAATTTATTCAAATTTTGACCTGATTTGCATAATTCATGAGGAAGTGCTATAATAGCCTTTTTGTTATGATAAGGCTGTCATTGAATGGAGAATATGATCAACTGATATAATCCATGCAAATGAGGCTCTTATTTACAAAAGCAATGATTAAAATTGTATAATTCGTCACCCGCAAGGGTTAACATCATTTGGCGAAGGTATGAGATCGTGGAACTCTTGTATATTAATATTTTTGCTAAAACGTCTAAAAAGGGCTTTTCCGTAAAGCTCGACCTGACCCAGTTTGCCTGGAATACTCATGCATACACGGGCGAATTTGAACGTACCGTGTCGACCTACAAAAACATACCTTTAGGCCATGTTTCAACGGTGCATTTCATGTACAGCAAATTCGAAAACCAATGTAACATATGGTGAATCAGGCTTGAAAATCGATTTTTGATGAACCGTGAGAGTAAACAGAATGTGGTAACATGCTATGGTAATGCATTCTGAAGCAAGCAACCATCACTAAGTAATGAGAAAATGGAAACTTTGTCAGGCAACCTTTTTTGCCGTCGCACGCTTTACACAGTTTTACACAGTCGCTACGCTCACTCGGTGGTTTATGAGGTGGTTATCGAACCCGTCCAGGGATAATCCCGTCATATACACCTTGGGGCAGGGCATTAACCCTTTGTTGAATCGTAATGACAACCTTGGTCTCATTATCAAGTGTTTTGATGTCATTATCATGTCAGTTATATCATATTTTGCAAAAAACATTATAAACAGAGATTTGCAATAAAGCTTGACATGACCCATTTTGCCGAGGACTCTCATGCATACACGGGCGAATTTGAACGTACTGTGTCGACCTAAAAAAAAACATACCCTTAGGCCGTGTTTCACCGATGCATTTTATGTACATCAGATTCGAAAACCAATGCAACATATGGTGAAGCAGGCTTGAAAATCGATTTTTGATGAACCGTGAGAGTAAACAGAATGTGGTAACATGCTATGGTAATGGATTCCGAAGCAAGCAACCATCACTAAGTAATGAGAAAATGGCAACTTTGTCAGGAATTTTTTTTTGCCGTCGCAGGCTTTACACAGATTTACTGAGCATACTGACTCTTACCAGAGTCTTAGACGTATTTTTGACGTATTTCTATCCAGCTTGTTTTTGTATTGTTAATATTTACGCCAGCTAAAAAAGTGTGGTGTATTAGATACTGCCTGGCCACTGTGATACTGTCTTGCTAGTTTGATACTGAATTGCAGCCACCAAAATATGCTTGGAGATTACCGTAAGCATATGTAGTGATCGATTTGAAAAAAAAACACAAAAAAAAGAAAAACTTTTAGTGCCCTTAAGGGCATTACAAGAGTAGGGATTACCTTCCACGGAAAAATAATTACTTGAAAGGAGTCAACCTTGCCAGAGTACTTTTACAGCTAACAAGAAGCTTTAACTGTCACATGCTTGACCTACTTTTACCTTGGAACTCATGCATACATGTACATGTACTTGCCAATTCGAACACACAGCATCGGGCCATAACTGAGCTCCTCTAGCTCAAAGGACTGTACATCAAGGGCATTTTCTATGCCTACCAAATTAGAAATATAAAACCATAAAAGATACTCGTAAATCGACAAGATGTGGGCAATAAGACTAGAAAGGTAACATTTGCAAAGCAAATGCTTACCTGAAAGGTAACATTTGCAAAGCAAATGCATACCTTCGCATATGGTCTGCTCTGTTAGTTCGTACTAAAAATATCCATATCAGACAGTAGTCTAAATCCCCTTCTGCTATAAAATTGCAACATGATGTAACCCAACACCAGTTACCATGGTTATATACCTCTGGTTCAGGTCATTGACCTTATTTTTTGGAGACATAAAAAGCACAGCTAATGTGAAATCGTCAAGGCCATTTGTTAAAGAAATAGGTAGATTGAAAGCAACCAACCGTAACTTGGCGATACGGGCTTCCCGATTACTTGACCTACTTTTACAGCAGTGAGTCTTCCACACATAATCATTGTGAATGTTCTCATTTATCTACGTCATGCAAGTCCTTGTCAATGCCATTTCATTTCTTTCAACGTCTGCAATGTGGAAGCAATGTACGTGTAATTTTGTCTGCATAAAAGTTTGATGTATATTGCATTCTGATGAAAAATATGAATATTGTGTGAGGTCGTCTTTATGACGCTTAGTTGTGTTTGTATTTATATTTGTGCAAGTCGTAAATATCTAATCGAATTGTTTGTGTTTTTCAGAAGGCGTTTACCTGATACCATTTAACAACTGAAGCCAACGTCAACTATATCGTGCCCAACCATGGTATGTGTCTTGTATGTACATTTGTTGAATTGTACATGATAATGCATGAAATCGTCATGGTGTTGTTGATAATGTATCTAGTCAAACACTAGTGATTGATGAAATTCTCACGGGAAATAGTTATAGCTTGTCAAGTACTCGGCATTGCTTAGCAAGAAACTCTCTCAACATGTATTGGACATATTTGATCGTGTATGCAGCTCACGTATTAGGACTTTGTCCATTGACGAAAACATTATGTTTCAGTCACTATTTGTCGTCTGAGACATTTTTCTTACGATCACGATACAAATCAAATTTAGTTTTGTACTGTAAGCATACAGGAAACCATTCCTTTTGCTCTCAATATTGCGTATATTTGTTATAATTTTCTATTTGAACTAAAAATAAGACATACATAAGCTAGGATATATAATAGTACAAGAAAGGGATGTTTATCAACGTATCTAGCAATTCTAATAATCAGAATTTTTTTATGTAATATGTTAATGAAACAATATAATGCGAAACCATCACATGAACAGTCTGTCTCTATAATTACTTGAATGATCATGAGTTAGCATGTCATTGAATAGCTTTATTTGTACCTTTTGTGATTATGTACAACATATACATTACTACATGTACATATCATTTATCTAGTATTAAAAGATAGCTCCCTGACATCTAACACGTAGAATATATTGATTTCGACATATGCAGTAATGGTGATAAGATTAGGAAAGTTGCAATCGTTGAAATCCAACTGTTTATCGATCGACATTAATCATTACAAAGAGGCGAAGTGACAAGCAGGCATTTTTTGTAATCTGTGGAGCGGAGCTCGTAACTTCGTATCGACCGAAAAGTTAAAGCCGCATTATGTCACATTAGGACGGTACAAAAAGTCAATTTTCTGCTCATTTCGTTACAAAGTAAGTTGAATCCACTCTCTACTTCATTGCAAATGAGTGTCATTTAGGAAGTAGAGCTGACAAAGTATGAAGCTTTTACTGTGTTTGAAATCTGGAAACACAATTGTCATTGATGCTTGTTTACATTGCTGGTAGTTTGTGGTGGTACCACAAATTGTGATGGTAGCACAAACTGAGTGTGACACGCATGGGTTGATTTAGTGCCGATCATAAATGTCAGAAATGTGTGATGATTGTGCAGATATATCAAATGGAATTTATTTACAATAACCCGAATATTTTGATTAAGATATTTGCACTTTAGTGGATAATGACTACTGCCACGTTCTGCATAAAGAATGTGTTTTGTCACCTTAGTCAAAATGTAGTCTTTTGGTAATCGTCTTAATGGTAAAAGGATGGGGCAATTGTGGCAACTGTTTGGTTTTATAAGAATATATCTTCATCTAAATATTGTTGTTTTGCACAATGTAGGCTGACAAGCTAAGTGAACAGCAAATCATCGGTAAGTAAAAAACACTAATTATATAAATTTCCATAACTGATTAATTGATGTGGTGTTTTTGTTATCAGGCATCATTGCAATATTGATAATTTTATTATTTTTATTTATTTTTCAATTATATCATTTTTGTTTTATAGAACGTGATAAGTTTGTTTCTTCTATCCTTCTGATTTTTGGCATTATATGCTAATCTTTGGAATTATAGGCTTATTATTTGTACTTAGATCTATTTGTTTTGGTAGTTTATTGTGCTAATATGTATTATTTATGTACTTTGGAAAATGCCTGATATTGCTGTCATCAGCAGGAAAATTGTAGCCTGGGTACCATCCGGATTTTCGAGCGTTGCGTAGCAAAAATCCAGATGGTACCCAGGCTAGAAAAATTGTACATACAATAACAAAATCTACTCCTTGTAGCTCAAAGAATGCTTGTGACGCTCCCATGTAGAGTACAGAGAAGCCTTTAGTGTGTACGACAAGGACGGTGATGGTATCATCGCCATCAAGGAGCTGTTCAAAGTGATGTGGTCTCTGGGACAGAACCCGACTGAGAGTGAGATGGAGAAGATTTTACAAGACGTGGATCCTGATAGTGAGTTATCACATGTCTCTTACGGACGGATTTGGTGCAAAGACCACAGCAAGTAAATTCTATGGATGACATCTACGCGCGCATTGATTTTCGCCTGATTTTGTGGAAAAAAAAAAAACAAGAAATTTTGTTGCTCGCTGAAAGTGGACAACATGCCACAAATGGGTAAATACATGTCTGTTGCCATGCCGGAACTTGAATGCCAGATAAATAGACAAGAAAATGCTCCGATTTAATGTTTTGTCTTTTACCTTTACTTTGTTGTAGTGTTGTATTTTATTCGTCTATATGTGATGTTGCAGCTGAATAAAAAAAAAACTTGTTTAACAAGGTCTATTATCTCAAAGTTTTAAAATATAGAAATATTTTTTTGGCCCCCCTTGTATTTTTTTCGCCCTATCGCATTTGACTTGGAGTTTCCTGAGGATGTCACCCATAAAAGTTAATTGCTGTGGCCTTGTTCAAGTTGATGTTTTAAGGCACCAAAAGCCATTTCAGGTCAGTTATCCCAAATTTCGAGCCAGCTCATTAATTTGCAAGTGACACCAATAGAATTAAAAAAAATTTGACTGTCGTAACATTCAAAGACTCCAATCAGAATCTGTCTGCTTTTAGAATCACTGTTTCTACCTACAAAGATCCCGATCCAAATTTCTGCTGATAGAGATTCAGATCGAGATTTCTGCCAATAGAATTGCCAATTCTACCACACAGGAATCTCTACCCTGCTATATGTGAGAATGTAATTTTAAGTCAAACACACGTGTGCAGTGAAGAATCTGTATTTACTTCATCCCTTAAGCTTATTAGTAAATTAGTAACGCCAATGACATACTTACTGCTTGCCGATGATATAGCTAAGTAATCTATATGCAAATGATAAAATTATTCTGTTACTTGATCCCTACTAAATTACAAAGAGATTTCCCTGAAGGTTTTTGACTACTTATCAATTCATGACAAGATGTTACGATGTGATCTTAAGATGTGCTATTCCTTCCTAGAGCATATGCATACATGTATGTAGTGTTAATGAAATTTTGATTAACATTTCCCACTAATGGACAACGTTACATGTACATTTTTCTGTAGGCGAAGGGTCCATTGATTTTGCAGACTTCCTTGCTGTCATGGCAAAGCGACAAAAAGACACGGAGCAGGAAGAGGAGTTGAGAGCCGCCTTTAGAGCCTTTGATATGGACCATAATGGCACAATTGAGTAATAGAATTTCTTCTGGATTCACAAGAGCCTACTTGCCTACATGTGCTGTTGTGTGTGTCTGTTTAGTTTTAAAGACAATGTCGTGGGATCGTGTGGCGTAATGGCAGAGTGCTCGACTCGAAACCGAGATGCCCAGGGTTCGAGTCCTGACATGCCACCGATCTTGTGCCCTTGGGAAAGGCACTTGACACGACCTTTCTCTATAACTCAAGTGAACATGAGTATTGTCTTGTCCTGTATTTGTCCTCTGCGTTGGTGGTGGTTGATATAAGTTGATATAACTTTAGTGTGCCGTCAATGTCTAGTCATAAAATGCTGGTATAAAAAAGATGACAATGTCGTTAGATGGTTCATTCTGCTTTCCTTTGCTTAGATTTCATTCACGATGACAGTTAAATTAATCTTCTTTCACCTCTAGCACAAAGGAGCTGAGAAGTGTCATGACAGACCTTTGTGATGACATCACCAATGAAGACATAGACGAGATGTTTTACCACTTTGACAAAGATGGCGACGGCATGATATCGTATGAAGGTATCCGAGAACCCTTGATCTGAACTGTTGATCTTTCGAAGAAGAGATATGTAATTTGCTAATCATATCTTTGAATTTCTGGTCTATTGAATTTAAAGGTTGCACAAAACAAACAAAAAAAACTGTCTGATATTGGCACTTGTTGCCATTTCTTCGCACATTTTCGTCATCGATATCATTTGATACTTGCAGCGTATCCAAGTATGGTCGAAAAATCAATGTCCTTTTTTGGGGGTATTAGCAATTAATAGCTAGAGCCTAACACTTCTAACTTTACTGCCCTAAAACTACTTTGCGTGCCTTTTAATAACCAAACTGGAACTAGATAGGGCAAGAAAAACGCTAGCCATTCAAGTAGTCGATGGCCCCTAGGCTTTACCTTCACAAAACCCAAAAGACCACGGTGGTTGCTCTCAGATCTAATTTAAAGTTCCTGGTAATCACCTCTGTGTAAGAAATGCCTTTCTGGCCAAGATGGCCACCTGGGTCCACTCTAATTCACTCCCCACATGTTTCTTATCTGTTCCAGAGTTCATTAGTGTAGTCATGGCGGCGGAGAAGGAGAAGGATGGACAGCCTTAATGAGCTCGGACCGCATCAACGCAAGATGTACAGTAGCAGTAACAATCAACAATCATCAGGCAATAACTTACATTCACGGTCTTACCAATACGCTCATTAGGAATATACACACGGGTGCAGACTGACACTCTACGAAACGTTGGATTTACCAATGGCAGAAAATGCCAGTAACGTCAGGTGATGTTTACTTTGTAAACAGTGCCAGAGACAGTAATGGTAGTAAATAAAAGCCAAGTCCGGTAATTATGACTTACCAATAGCGGTAATTGAAATGGATGGATTTGGCTTTAAATCCAATACCTTTGGTAAGTCTCATAAAGTGTACTTTACTGGATTCTACGGTCATTGGTAAATCCAATTTTTCGTGAAGGTTTGGAAGCTTGGTTTGAATCTACCGCAAGAAACAGCCATGAAGAATAATACCTAATAAGATACACAAAAATAGACATACAAGAGGAATGGTACATCAGTGAGCATCTGTGAAGGCCTGGACGGCAGAAGATGGTTGAATGATTTCAGACTATTTTCTTGCAAGAGACGGAATATCAAAAAAAGGAATCACCATGTCATTCGGCAAGATGGCTTCAGTACATTATCAAGGATATCATATAGTCGCAATAGCTCCCTTTACAATAATACGCGGGCTAACTGCATATTGCAGCAATATTGAAGACAGAGATGATATGAAATCAGGTTCAGTAGACTGCAAAACTTCAATAACGTTTCCTCTAAGGAACAAGCTCATGAAAACAAAGTTGCTTGAGCACAAGAGTTGCATGGTAATGGTGTTCTTTCACATAGACTGATATTTTACGAAAACTATAGCAACTGGCTGATGGTGGTTAACGCATTTTCATGCCTAATTGTACATTGCTTTACGCTCTCTCTATATAGACACAGGTGCACGTAACCGTTCATATTTATAAATTATGGGAACATGAAAATATGTTACAAGCTACAAGGAGCATACTGTCATGAAAACTTTAAAGCACATGCGAAACTCACGCACGTATCATATTTGCAAATAGCAATAGATTATACGCACAAAATATGATTAAATTTGTCCACCAATATAAAATGTTTCTGACGGCAATATCACTAGATATTGGGACAAAAAGAGCAAATCAAACATGATGACTAATCAATAAATATCGACTAAGGAATAATAATGTATAGCTATGAAATATTAAAGATATCATTGATAACAATATACCATTGAATCTGTTCTTATTCCACTGTTTCTTACCTTTATTCCTCATGACTAGCTCTATTGTCCTTACTACATAGCCTCTACCAGGCTTGGGGAGGCGGCTGGAAAGAGTAGAAATCGGTCAAATAGAGAGATAAGCATGCCAAGGGAGTTTGTCCGTTGAGAGAACATTTCGCCGCACCCGGGCAGCGGCGACAAACTCTCTCGGCATGCTATCTCTCTATTTGACCGATTTCTACTCTTTCCAGCCGCCTCCCAAACCCTGCTAGAGGCTACTTACTACATTCATTTAAAAAAAGAATTACTACCCTGAAAAATCGCTTTGGGTGCCTTTAAATCATGTCTCTACATGGGAAACTGATCAGGCCTGAGAACGCTATACCAGACTCTAAGGCGACAACGTTGGTCAGAAAGCCAATTATTCGGATGATTTGCACCATGCCTTCGGGAGAAATCTCACAGGGCTTCGTTCTAAAAGATCGTGTTGACAATAGGCCTTGGTTACACTAATCATGCCCATCTCTCTCTCTTTTGTACTGACTGCATTAATGGAAAGTGATCTTGATCATGTTTGAGCTCACTTAATCAAAGAGCTAATCTCCCACTAGCACTAGCCGTGACAGAGAGGGTAGACTAGACGCCAGGTTCATTGTACCAGGAAAATTCGCATTGCCTAGTTCATTTTAACAAACATAGTGAAGAGTGCACCATAGCTTAACGTTCCGTCCGAAGGACTGCGACACTATGCATGCCGCGTGAGCGACAGTCGGGATTTGAACTCCCAAAATCTTGGTTCAGAGGCAGGGTCACTACTGCACAGATGTCTGTTATTCCTACATCAGAAAGAATGTAATATTACAAGGCTATTATTGATTGCTATGACGCAAACTGTGCCCATACATGTATCCGCGGGTAGTGTTTGATAAAGCTGGCCTTGTCAGGACAAAAATCTAATAAAACATAAGAACAGATCAATACCCAGTAATATCTGCACAGAGCCCACAGCATGGTTTATTCCTAGGCCACCGACATCAATAACATGTCCAGACCCAGTCTCTAAGGCTCTAGTCATCATTAATAATACATAATAAAGGAACGAATAATTACATATATCATCGTGAAAGGTCACCCTGGTGAGGAAAAGGCATTCGGATGAGTTATCACTTTGTTCCAGTGTAACACAAATGCAGGTTAAAAACCAAGTCCTGTTTTCCTCCAGTGATCTATTGAATGATTATGTACTAATTTCAAATTATTATGCGTTAGTGTAAAGTTGTGAAAAGATTTGTACCACTTCCTTAATAGTGTGAAGCAATCCAGCCGATGCCAATATGGTTTTATTCCCAATGAGGAAGCAATTCTATCACCACTATCACTGCTACTACTACTACTACCGCTACTACTATTACTACTACTACTGCTGCTACTATTACTACTACTAGTAACTGCTATTACTACTACTGCTACTACTACTGCTACTACTACTGCTACTACTACTACTGCTACAACTACTGCTACTACTACTGCTACTACTACTGCTACTACTACTGCTACTACTATTACTGCTACTGCTACTACTACTACTACTACTACTACTACTACTACTACTATTATTACTACTATTACTACTACTACTACTACTACTACTACTACTACTACTACTACTACTACTATTACTACTGCTGCTGCTGTTGCTGTTCCTGCTGCTGCTACTGCCACCACCACTACTACTAGTACTTATCACGGTGACAAAAATCAGCGAAGCGATAGTTCTGATTCGCCAGGCCCATAAGAAGATTATCTCACGGAACACGTATGATGGACGACATGGCTTCAACAGATTAAATTCGGTGTGACACTCGCGGTACTCCAATGTCACGCACACGCTACGGTTGGGTTGACCGGCTTTCTTCTTCCTGAATTCATGAATAGTTTGTCTTGTGAACGACAATCATTCAAGGTCCTTGTCCCTTCTCTATGACCCTTTCTTTGTCCTTTTTTTTTTGGGGGGGGGGTGTTTAGATATCGGGAAATTAACCCATTTTTAAATATATCCTTAAAGGTTTAAGTCGTAACAAGATCGCGTAGCTACAAAGGTAAGTGATAACAATGGCATTACATTGTAGTTATGTTTATATATATAATTACCAAAGAAAAAAACATATTGTTTTCGCTCAGTTCTTCTTCTTCCGTTAAAAACACTATAAGGTCAATGACCAGCCAGGGCCATACGTCTCTCACCATGGTAACTGGTGTTGGATTACATATTGTTTGTGCCATGTACAACTCAAGTCACTCTCAACCTCAAGTCACTATATACATATATGGATGTATTTTAATAAGAATAAAGATCATCAAACAAAGCAGTAGTTTGCTAAGCTGGACCCTATGAAGGTAGACATTATGCATTTGCTTTGCAAATTTTACCTTTCTAGTTTTGATTAAATCAGGGGTAACCATATTGTTGCAGTACGTTTCCCTTTCAGTAGAAATTAATGACAGTGATAAAGGAAATTGGGTCAGCTGCCAATGAATTATGACAGCTAAGAGATAAATTGACAGATTCGAGAAAATGAGGACATCGTGATAACTGAGGATTAACATAAGTTGACTCTACATGGCAGATGACCAATTCTTTAGGCAAATTGATGATAGTGCCACACTCTTATTTATCTATTCATTTAGTTCATTTAGCACATACATACATAATGAAAAATTATACAAAATAATACAAAAGAAATAAATGTGCAAGGGCAGGAAGAAAAGCCGCAATGGCTTATTTAAAGTCCTCCCCTTCATGATTTTACAATTTCTACAATTTGATGAATGAAATATAAATAACAATGAAGAAGTAATTAAAAGATAATAAACAAGTACAATGAAAAAATGAATCAATTTAACAAAAGAGTTAAATTTAGCATAAGTAATGAAACAATACGAGCCAAACTAGATAAATAGGATTGGCAACAAGAAGATGAAAATATAAAAAAAATCTTAAAATTAGTCAATGCATATATCAAACAATTAGACATTTATCAAAACTTTGTTATGGCATGGAGCTAGTAAACATACATGTATATAATCAACGACATTTATTGCACATTTTTGCCACAGTTGGTACAGGTCAAATAAATGCTCGGCATGATGAACAAAATGACAGTTTGATAGATACGAACTAACTATCATTAGATTGATCCAACTTCTCCTCGCTTCTCAGCTATGACAGAATTGAAAGAACAGATTTTCTTTTCGATGAAAGGCAATACAGAACCATGCTGAGAAAAGGCTCCAAGAAGTCTGGGCTTTTGTCAAGCAAATAAGAAAGAGTAATTTTGGTTGTCAATTTATGCCTCTAACACATACTGGGCTTAAGGCAGAGGTAATCATATTAAGTTATATCGTACATTTGTGACGACGATGATCTTAGTGCATTGTACGTTTATCGTAAAAAGTACATTACGTACTTGTCTGTAACGTTTAGGGATTTTAAATGATGAATGAAAACGGCATAAAAAGTGGCCCTATGAATAATATATACAGTCCGTCGGGCATTCAATTTAAAGTTTCGAACTATCAATCACTTGATTAAACTCTTGGGCTGTAGACTCAACTTTGGACAGAAGAAAAAAAAGTCCTATAGCGTTTCTCGGGTCTGTAAAAATATGAATGGAAACGGTATAAAAAGTGACTCTATAAATAATATATAGTCTGTCAGGCATTCAATTCAAAGTTTCCGACTATCAATCAGTTGATTAAATTCTTAGGCTGTAGGCTCAACTTTGAACAGAAGAAAATGTCCTCTATCGTTTTTCGGGTCTGTGAAAATATGAATGAAAATGGTATAAAAGTGGCCCTATGAATAATATATACAGTCTGTCAGGCATTCAATTTAAAGTTTCGGACTATCAATCAGTTGATT